CCCCAGGGGCCTGAGTCATACACGGGGAAAGCCGGGGAGGGGTGAGTCACGGGGGTGGAGAAGGGGGAAGGAGGCTGGCTATGGCCAGGGGACCCCCGGGCTGGCCTGAGTCACACACACCCTAACCTCGCTGACCCCAGCCCCCATCCCCGGAGACCATAAGCGGGAAGCTCACAGTCCAGAACCGGAGCGAGGCGCAAGGGGAGAGGAACTGGGGCGTGATGGGGGAGAAACGGGCAATTCGGGGGCGTCACAGCTCGATGGGGGCTCCCTCCCAAAGCAGGGACGGCCCCAAACGCCGGGGAAGCCCCTATGCACTCAGTCGAGGGGCCACTAGTTTCAGATGAGGCAGGAAGGGGTTAACGGCGCCCTCCTCATGGATTTCACCAGCTCTGAAAGTCCCGGGCAGGGTTGGGCTATGGCCCGCGCGCCCCCACAGGCGCAGCCCCCCGCGCGGGCGGCCCACGCACGCGCGCACTCAGGCATGCATCCACTCCCTCCCGTTCGCACGCACGACCGCGTCGGGCTCCACGCACGCAGCACCCCTGTCGTGTCTCACGTCACGCACGACGCACGCGCCCCCGCAGCTCGGGGAGGGGCGCTCCCAGCTGAGAGCAGGCAGCAAGACGGATGCCCCTGCCTCTGCGTATATCTCCACCTCTGCTGTGCGGGCTGCTGCATGTGACTCTGACACTCTCTCTCCTTTCTCTCTCTCTCTCTCTCTCTCTCACACACACACACACACACACACACACACACACACGGGCGCGCGCGCTCACACACACACACAAAAGATCATGAACAAACCCTCCGACCCACAGTGTCACAGAAACACAGGATACACCTGACACACCGGCACAAACCGTCACAAGGCCAGCCAGCCCCACAGCAAACAGGGACAGGGACAGGAGTATACTGTCACACAGGGACACTCACAAGACCTTATTGAGATGCAAATGATTATACAGACACACTCTTACATACTGGCTGTGGCAGGGACACAGGACTATGTTCACACACACACACACACACATTCATTCTTACAAAACCACATCATTAAGATAGAGACAGAGCTGGACACAAACAGATACACACAGTTATGGATGCCAGGCCTTTTGTTGTGAAGCCTCTCACACAGAGAGTGAAGAGACAGAGACACATGGTAGAGACAGACACAGAAAACAGTCATGGATATCAGTCACATGGTTATCATAAATATGTCACACCAAGTAGAATACAGTCCCAGAGACAAACTCACAAGGCCACACACAGGAACAGCTAGACTGTTACAGTGACATAGACCAACCAAGGCCACAGATGATAGGGTCATGTTATCACAGAAAGACACACAGTGAAGATGAAGATGACAAAGTAGGACACAGTCACAGACACAAAACACAAAGTCATGCAGACACTGTCACAAACTCACTTTTCACACACACACTGACAAGGATGCAGACACAAAAAAAGATCCTGTATGGTGCAGTGAGTGGTCGATAAACACACCACACCTGGAGCGACATCCAAACTCTCTGTGGACAAAACAGGCATTAGGCTACCCACCCCCTCACTCTGACTCAATGCTACACACAGATGGGAACGGAGTCACAACCGTCCACCCCATCAAATCACACTCACAAAGTTAGTGGCACAAACTTTCAGGGCCCTGAGACGCACCAAGACTCAGGTGGGTGCAGACATGTGTTCCTATGTACCTAGACAAAATCTCACACCACACACATTCAAGCACACTTCACATGGACACAGACACACCTACACACACGTTCAAACAGACACACACATGGAGGAAAGAGATGACTACGGAGTTCCTGGCGGGATGTCAGGGTCTGGGGTGCAGGGGCCTGCCAGCATCCCCCATGAAATGTGGCATGGGGTCTATTGAGTGGCTGTGGTCAGCAGAGCAAAGGGAGTAGGGCACTGTCCCCCTGCTGCATGAACCCAGAGTCCCTGTCCCAGCCCTGATAACTGGGTCCCTGCCCAGATGTGAAGGCCAGAGGGGGTGGGCAGGGGTCCAGCTGTGGCCGCAGGGAGGGGCTGAGTCACCCGCTTCCCAGCAGTACAACCCAGACCCAGCTGTTCCTGGAAACAGGCAGAAGGGGGTGGGGTCCCCAAACCGGCTGGGGGCTACTGGCTGGGATCCACACTCTGGGACTCCTAGTCTCTCCAGGGGGGTTGTGGAGGCCTCCAGACCATCCCTCAAATGGAGGGTTTGTAGCCCCTTTCCCTGAATTAAAGGTACCCAGATCTCCCCAACAGTGGGGCTCTTAGGATCCCAAAATAGGGATTGCTGTTCCTCCCTGTCAACACAGGAGCTCCCTTCTGTCCCCAGATACAGGCCTCCCTGCTACCCTAAGTGAAGGGCTTGTTGTTGCTGTCCCAAATTGAGGGCACCTAAAGTCTTGCCTAAATCTGAGGACCCTTGGCCCTCTGAACATCTGGGACTCTCAGAACATCATGTCAACATTAGAACGCTTAAAGTCTTTTTCTCAAAATATTTGGATTCTCAGAGTCTCTTCAGACATCAATATCTCTGCATTTTTTGCAAGTCTGGGGACCCCAACCACACATACTCCATGTTCCCAGCGTACTCCTCAATACCGAGGAGACTAGGGTCTCCTACAAATATTCGGGATTACCCACCCTCAATCTGTGTAACTTTGTGGTTCCTGGCTCACCTCCCATTGCTACCTGTGGGCAGAATGACCCTGTTTCCCTTTATTGGCAACGCCCGCTCCTACTGTGGGAGCAGTATGGAGGAGCCATTGGCAGTTGTTCCCACGCCTGCCGGAAGGCAGCCCAGCCAGGAAGCCAGGGCTGCTGGCCCTTGTCTCCACCCCCCCCACCTCTGGCTCCTAAGGCTAGAGGCTGGAAAACAACATGGGAGGGGCATGGGGGTGTAAACAAGCCTGACACCCCACCACTGCATGTGCTGCTGGTCTGTCACAGGTGTCTGGTTGTGACTGACTGTGTTTGTACAGCAAGAGAGGGGCTATTGTCACCCTGCCCCAAACCAGATTCTGGGCAGGGGCAAGCAGTGCCCTCCCCCTTCCCACTAGGATCCATCCCCAGGGCATGACCCACTGCCCCTCCCTCTGGGTATAAACCACCTCTGCCATTCAGTCCATTCCAACTCACAGCGACCTTATAGGACAGAATAGAACTGCCCCTAAGGTTTCCAAGGCTGTAATCTTTATGGAAATAGACTGTCTCATCTTTCTCCAGTGGAGCAGCTAGTGGATTTGAACCTTCAATCTTTTAGTTAGCAGCCAAATGCTTTTTAACCACTGTACCACCAGAGCTTCTTCTCTGGGTACAGCCAACAACAACAACACAAATAGCCAAACCCATTGCCATCCAGTCCATCCAGACCCATAGCAACCTGTAGGACAGACTAGAACTGTCCCATTGGGTTTCTAAGGCTGTAATCTTTACAGGAGCAGACTGCCACATGGAGTGACCGGTGAGTTCCAACCGTTGACCTTTCAGTTAGCAGCCAAGTGAACCAAGGTATAGCTAAACCAAAGGGAAAAAAAAAAAAAACAACCACTGCTGTCAAGTCGATTCCAACTCATAGTGACCCCTCCTTGGGTTTCCGAGGTAGTATCTCTACGGAAGTAGATTGCCCAGTCTTCCTTCCGAGGAGTGGCTGGTGGATTTGAACCACCAGCCTTCTGGTTAGCAGTCAAATGCCTTAGGCACTATGCCACCAGAGCTCCTGGGTATAGCTAGTAACCCATAATTACTGCTCATGACACTGCCCACCCCAAGGGGGTCAAAGGGATCTAACCACTCCTCCCAAAGCACAGTCTACCCATAGCCTGTTTCTTCACCTGCAAACCAAGGATTAAAATGGTGTTGCCACATGGGATGTTTAAGTCACTTAGCGAAGAGACTGCAAATAGGCAGGAAATATATGGTGAATGACATTTCATTGTTACCACTATTGTTATCCACACCATCTGTCAATTGTGGCACTGTGGTGGCTTGCATGTTGCTGTGATGCTGAAAGTTATGTCACAGGTATTTCAAACACGAGCAGGGTCACCCTGGCAAGCTTCCAGAGTAAGTCAGCGTAGGAAGAAAGCCCTGGTGATCTGCTTCTGAAAATTAGCCACTGAAAACCGTATGGATCACGACAGAATACTGTCTGACATCCTGCTGGAAAATGAACCCCTTGAGTTGGCGTGATAATTGCAACAATGGACTCAAACGTACTGGGATCATAAAGATGGAACAGGTCTCCCCACGTTTCTTTTGTGTGTATTGGTCGACTGGAGCACAAATAAATCGGTTGTTATCACACTCCTTTAGCTCCCTCCCCCTTGTGCTCAGGAAAGGTTTCAGAATGAGCGCACCCTTTTCGCTGAAGGCCTCATCCCCGCGGAATGTGCGCCCCCTAGTGTGTGAAGGGCGACGCGCAGCTTCAGCAGCAGGGGAATGCTAAACGCGGTCTCTTGGGCTCGGGGTAGGCTGGCTAGTGGGGGACCCACCCAGTTGGCCACGTCTGTCTGTCTGTAGCCCAGGGCAGGTGTCTGGTTGACTCCTCCTGCCCCCAACCTAGTACCATACCTATATCCTCTAGTCTGCCCCTGGGGAAAGTCTCCAAAGTCACAGCCACCGGGAAGAGCTCCTTAGTATCCCACCCTCCATAGTCCCCCATGCACACTAAGGCTCCAATCATAAGAGAACTACTGTCACTGCAGCAAGAAGGCGGTGGTTAAAGAGAATTCCTTAGTCGAAAGGAAAGTAAGTGAATGTGCCTGAATAAAAGAATGAGGCTACTTGGCCTCAGATGCTGATCGTGAGGGTCCCGTAGCCCCAAAACAGACGGAGGAAGAGAGGCGGCAGGCCACCTGCGGGATGCATAAGGCTGGACTAGACTGACCTCTACAGGCATGGGCGGACTCCCGGACGCCGCCCGGATCCAAGATGGCGGAACCGGAGACATGCACGGGTGCAGGAAAAGATCACGTGACGAGGGCGGGTCCTGAGCCCAGGGGGCGGGAGGGCGGGGCGGTGCTCTAGGCCGAGCGGGAGGTCGGGGCGACGGGCGCTCGCTGGTGGCGGACTTGGAGGCGGCTGCGGCGGCAGCGTCTCCGCAGCCAGGGTCGAATCCGATCAAGAGCCATGAGTGTGGACAAGGCCGAACTATGCGGGTCTCTGCTCACCTGGGTAGGTCGGGGGCGAGGCCGGGAACAGGTGTGCAACCGTTCTGCTCGCCCGGGAGCCCTGACCGTAGCTCAGCCCGCCTCTCTGTCCTGGGCCTGGGAGGGGGAAGGAGTCGTGGGCCTACAGAACCGTTGGACTCTGGCCTGAGCACCCGCCCCCGTCACGTGGCAGGTCTGCGTGGAAAGTACAGGTGAGGCCCCGCCCCTCTGTGACTGGGTCACGTGGGGCCGGGGCACAGGTGAGCCGACTAGTCACGTGGTTGCTGTGGGGTTCAGATGACTTGTGGTTCCGCCTTCTCTTGGGTGCGTGGGGTTTCTTGGGCAGAGGTGAGGTGAGGCCACGCCCCCTCTGGACCCAGGTGAGCAGAGGGCACTTCTGCAGAGATCTGGTGTGTTGGAGCAACGGGCAAGTCCCAGCCAAAAGGACTGAAGCTCCTACTGACCCCAAAGTCTGCAAAAAGGGGAGTGGCTCGGTGGTCTCAGGAGCTAATTCTTCCCCTTCTTTCCTTTCGCCTCAGTTACAGACGTTCCACGTTCCACACCCCTGTGCCAGCCCACAGGATCTGAGCAGCGGCCTTGCAGTAGCCTATGTGCTGAACCAGATGTGAGTGGGGCTGAGGGGGAGGGTCCCAAAAGGGTCCCGTAACCGAGCTCATCCCACCTTCTCACCCCTAGAGACCCATCTTGGTTCAACGAGGCATGGCTCCAAGGCATCTCAGAGGACCCAGGTCACAACTGGAGACTGAAGGTGACAGGTGGACTCATGAGTGGGGGAAAGGCTGATGAACAGATGTCCAGGAAAGGGTCGACTAGATGCATGTCCTGGGTGATGTGCAGACCTAGGGAGAGAGACATTGCCAGATACATGTCTGGTGGTCAACCAACCATTTGTTCCTCCCTTCACTCTGTGGAACACCCACTGCCTGCCAAGCGTAGGGGTGCAGCAAGGAATGACACAGACCAACATCTGCCCTCACACAGCTGACATTCCAGTGATGCAGGCAGGCAATACACACACAAACATAAAACTTTATTTCCAATGGCAAGCAGTCTTATGAAGACAATAAAAGCAGGATCATGAGAGTTACTGGAGTGGTTGGGTGGTTACTTGGAATGAGTTGTTCCCCACATGAGATTAAGAGGAAGAATATTCCAGGTATGTGGTTGTTATGTGCCAGTGAGTTGACTCCAAGTCATACCTCATAGCAACCTGATAGGACAGACTAGAATTGCCCCATAGCACTTGCTAGGCTGTGGTTTTTGTTGGGGCAGATCTCTGGGTCTTTTCCCCCTTGACATGGGTGGTGGGTTCAAACTGCTGAGCTTTCAATTAACAGCTGAGTGCTTAACCATTACACTACTAGGGCTTCTTATTCCAGGTGTCCCGTTGCCAGCAAGTCAGTTCAGACTTACAGGATGGTGGAGACAGAGAGGGCTGGTGCAGTAAGTGCAGTGAGAGATAGAGCCAATGGGAGGCAGTGCAAGTGCTGAGAAGTGACTGGAGACGTATGAACAAAAGTGGTCAGGTGGACAAGAAGCACAGCCAGCCAGGAAAAATGTCCCCAGGAGAGGGGACATTCAGACAAAACAGGGACAGACAGGATGCAATGACCAGGGATCGAGAGGTAAGGTGGAGAAAAAAGGATAAAGTAGACAAGGTGGGGCAGACTGGTTGCTTCTAGGGGGCTCTGGACCCCTAGACACAGCCCTTGTCTCTCCCCAGGTTGGCAATCTGAAGACGATTTTACAGAGTCTGGTGGAGTACTCTCAGGAAGTGAGTAATTGTGAAGGGACTTAGTGGGTTAAGATGGAGGAGAGTGAGAGACTGTGAGTCCCTGAACCCCACCCCTACCCCCATCCTCAGGTCCTGGGACACCCTGTGTCTGAGCAGCACCTCCCGGACGTGAGCCTCATTGGGGAGTTCTCAGACCCTGCGGAGCTTGGCAAGCTGCTTCAGCTGGTGCTGGGCTGTGCCATCAGTTGTGAGAAGAAGCAGGGTATGAAGGAGGCAAGGAGATCTCCAGGGGATGGCCTGAGGAAGTGCTCCTTCCCCCCCACCTCCCTGGGTCTGCGTCTCAGTCACCCCCACCTTGATCCCCAGAGCACATCCAGAGAATCATGACGCTCGAAGAGTCGGTTCAGCAAGTGGTGATGGAAGCCATCCAGGAGGTGGGTGGTGGTGCCCAGTGTGTGGAGGAGCTTCAGGGCACAGGCAGAGCAGAGGCAACTGGGTACCAGCCCTGCCCTGGGAAGGTCTGGGCTCTGCCTGGCCCTCAGCTGGCCAGACGTGTGTCTCATGTGTCTGCCAGCTCTGAGCAGCTCCAAGTCACAAGCCAGCAGGTTCAGAAAAGTTCAGTCTTCCTGCGTGATGGATACTGGGTAGCCTTGGCGGCTGGGGTTATTGGGGAGAACTGGCCTCAGGGATGAGTGAACGGAGGGGTTGTCGGGCTGGATCATGGAAGCCTTACAGGCTACCCTCAGAGGGCCCAGCTCATCTTTATATTCTCTGCCCTCAGCTCATGACCAAAGACATCCCAGACTCTCTGTCCCCAGAGACATATGGGAACTTTGACAGTCAGGTAAGTGGCAAGGGGGCAGCTTATTGAGGTTAAAGGTCACAACTGCTCAGAGACACCTAAGGAGAAGGGGCTTATCCATTAGCCTGCAAACTCCCCTTTGTCCCTCAGGGACCTAGCCTCTTCTATTGCTAGGTCCCCAGGGTTCCTGAAGGGCCCTTCCCAAGTCCCCTGGGGTCCCAGTCCTCTTTCTTCAGATACTGAGGTTTCTTGGCCCCTTCCTCTCTGGCCCTAGAGACCCCAACTTCTCTTTCGCCCTCCCTCTGCCCTGGATGCCTGAGTTCTTCACCCCGCCCTCGCCCATCTCTTCAGTCCCGCAGGTACTACTTCCTGAGCGAGGAGGCTGAGGAGGGAGATGAGCTTCAGCAGCGCTGTTTGGACCTGGAGCGGCAGGTGGGGCTGAGGTGGGGGGAGGGACAGCAGTACTGCAGAGATGGGGTCCCTCGCATAGCCTCCTACAAGCTCTGGCTCACCCAGATCCTCCCCTTCCCCCTAGTTGGTACTCCTGTCGGAAGAAAAGCAGAGCCTGGCACAGGAGAATGCAGTGTTGCGGGAACGAGTGGGCCGGCCTGAGGGTGAGGGGGCCGTGGGCCTCACTGCCAAGAAGCTGCTGCTGCTGCAGTCCCAGCTGGAACAGCTGCAGGAGGAGAACTTCAGGTGTGGTCAGGTGGGGAGGGAGCCAGGCAGAGCAGGGTGGCCGGCCAGACTGCTAGGTGCTGCCCGTCGCGTGCCTCCTCACCCCCAGGCTGGAGAGCAGCAGGGAGGACGAGCGCCTGCGCTGTTCTGAGCTGGAGCGGGAGGTCACCGAGCTGCAGCAGCGGAACCAGGAGCTGACCAGCCTGGCTCAGGAGGCGCGGGCCCTGAAGGATGAGATGGATGAGCTGCGGTGAGTGGTGGCCCCTGGGTCCCCACCCCACACGCCTTGTTTCCAGAGTGCCCCTCCGATGCCATAGCAGTTGTGTAACCAAAATGCCCCAAACCCTGCTTCTTCTCACAATGTCTCTCAGACTCTGCAGTGCCATCCCAAATTCCACAGTACCCCCCAGACCTTACTGAACTCTGCCTGGACCCCTCGTGTCTCCTGGACCTCACCAAACTCCTTGAATCCCTGGTGCTCCCAGGACCCCACAGTGACTTAGCCCCACACTGTGCCCCTCAGACTCCATAGCATCCATGTGACTCAACAAGCCCAGGCCCCTCGCAGTGCTCCCCAGACCCACTGTACCATTCCCATGTTCCCCACGTGAGATTCAGTCAAGTCATGCCTCTGGGTCTTGTGCTGCTCTCCATGGCCCCTGGGACCCCAAGACATGATTATATCTTCTTGCTACTGCTTCCCACTACTTAGCCCTCCTGTAAACCCAGAGTTCTTGATGGGCCTTCAGAGTACTCACCTCCTAGACATGATTGTGCCTTCTATAACCTCAAAAAGCTTTTTGTTAAAAAAAAATTCTTATTGTGATTTGGGTGAAAGTTAAGGAGCTCTGGTGGCGTAGTGCCTACAATATTTGACTGCTAACCAGAAGGTTGGTGGTTCAAACCCACCAGCCACTTGGCAGAAGGAAGATTGGGCAATCTACTTCCATAAAGATTTGCCACCTGGTTCATGGAGGGATGGACACAGGGAAGAGGTAACTGTCAGGAGGAAGTAGGAGGGGAGCTATTACACTGTGGTGAATTGTGGTCAATGTCATATGAGAACTGCTGTATGGAAAGTGAATTTGCTCTGTGAATTTTCACCCAAATCACAATTAAAAAAAAAAAAAAAAAGTCAAAAGTACAAATAAAAACCTACATATAAATATCTATATCTATATATAGGAGTTCTGGTGGTGTAGTGCCTAAGGCATTTGACTGCTAACCAGAAGGCTGGCAGTTCAAACCCACCAGCCACTCCTTAAAAAAAAAAAAAAAAAAAAAAAGATTTAATACCTGGGAAACACAAAGAGATCTCTATGACTTGGAATCAACTAAATGGCAGTGAGTTTGGTGTTTTTTGGTTGGTTGGTTGGTTGGGTGAAAGTTTACAGAGCAAATTCATTTCCCACACAACAGTTCATACACATTTTGCTTCATGACATTGACTGCAATTCCCCACAGTGTAACAGTTCTCTTCTAACTTCCTCCCCATAATTACCTCTTCCCTGTGTCCTTCCCTTTCATGCACTCCTGCCCTCCCAAGCTGTCTCCTTGTGCAAACGCTGCCTTTCTGTTCTCCCACATTGATCGCTCCAAGGAGTGTATGTACCTGATGTAAACGTTCACCCCATGTGCCTGTCTATTATTTGGCTGGAAACCACAGGAGTGAGCTCAGTTTCAAACCTGAAGGGTTACTCAGGGATCTCATCAGGCTCTATCAGACCAGCAAACCTGGTTTTTTTTAAAAATTATTATTAATGATTTTGAACCTCAAAGGGCTTTGCTCTGACCCCACAGCATCTCTGTAAGGCTAAAGTCCTCAGCGGGTCCCAACTGCACTTCCCTACAGTGCTCTTGCCCCATAGCTGCCCCATGACTCTATAGTGTTTCTGAAGGCTCCTCAGCCCCTTCTGGGACCCCATCACTCCCACTATGGCCCTACAGCCCTTCTGTATCCCCACAATTCTGCCTTGAACATCCTCAGTTGTAACTTCAGTCCTAACCACTCCTTAAGGATTTCTCCTGCCCTCATAGCAGCAATCCTACGCCCCATTCCTGAGCCTCTTCACCTTGAACCCAAACACCTAAGCTGACATCCTCCCCTCCTGCCCCAAAAGCCCTGCATCCAAGCTGAAGCCTGACCACCAGCCCCTGCCTTTTCCCCTCCCTGCCCCCTCCCCCAGGCAGTCTTCGGAGCGGGCTGGGCAGCTGGAGGCCACGCTGAGCGGCTACCGGCGTCGCCTGGGCGAGCTGCAGGATCTGCGGCGGCAGGTGCGGCAGCTGGAGGAGCGCAACGCGGGCCATGCGGAGCGCACGCGGCAGCTGGAGGATGAGCTGCGCCGGGCCGGCTCGCTACGGGCCCAGCTCGAGGCGCTGCGGCGGCAGGTGCGGCTGGGCTGGCTGCGTGCAGGGAGCCAGGGCGGGAGAGCTGGGCCCAATGGGAGGGCCCGCCCACTCGCGTGCCTCTCCAAACTTCAGCCCACCCCCAGCACTGCGCTGACTCTGCCCAGAGCTCCGCCCTCTCCCTCACTTTTATATAGGTCACGCCCCTTTAGGCCTCTCCCCCTCCACCCTGGTCAGCTGGCTGTCTGGGCTGGTAAGCCCCGCCCCTTCCCTAAATTGCTACGCCCCCTCAAGTTCTTTGCAGGGACTCCTTGTATCCCCAGCCCTTCACCTTCTGCTTATTTCCTGCCTCTCCTTCCAACCGTGCTGCCCTCATTTCTCTTCTCTGTTCCCTCTCCTCTGTTAGGTGCAGGAACTGCAGGGTCAGCGGCAGGAGGAGGCCATGAAGGCTGAGAAATGGCTCTTTGAGTGCCGCAACCTGGAGGAAAAATATGAGTCCGTGACAAAGGAGAAGGAGGTGCGGCTGAGATCCTGCTTCCCAAACCTAGACCTGCCCCCTGCGGGGTAGCCCAGTTCCCCAGAAGCTGAGGGTCCTTCACATGGTTCTTAAACCCTATTCCTCCTAGCGGCTGTTGGCAGAACGTGACTCCCTACGCGAGACCAATGAGGAACTACGCTGTGCCCAGCTGCAGCCACGGGGGCTGACCCAGGCTGGTGAGCTGGAGGCCATTCCAGGAAGCCTGGAGACTTGGGCATGGAAAGGGGTGTTCTGAGGGCTTACCTGGCCAGGTGTGCTGTTTGTTATCCAACCCATTGCCATGGAATTGATTCGAATTCATAGTGACCCTACAGGACAGAGTAGAACTGCCCCACAGGGTCTCCAAGGCTTTATGGAAGCAGATTGCCACATCTTAGTCCCACGGAGCCTCTGGTGGTGCCAACCACCTTTTGGTCAGCAGCTGAGCACTTAACCACTGCTCCAGCAGGACTCCTTTTTGGAGGGAGGTTAGGGCAGGCTTAAAGGAGCTTGCCTAGGCTGAGGACAGAGCTGGACCGGCCTGGGAGGGAGGCTAGAGGAGAAAGGTGCAGCTTGGGCAGGGGCCTCTCCTCTGGGGCTCAGGTTGAGGCAAGGCCAAAAAGGGGGCTGAGCATAGTGGCTTCCTCTCAACCCCAGGCTGAGGCTTGTATCAAGTGAGACATTTGGCCAAACTTGAGCTCTAAACATACACCTTGGAAAGATGCCCCTTATAGTAGTAGAGGAATGGTGTAGGGGTGTGCAGAGAACTGAAGAATTTTTTTTGCATTGTCCAGTCCCTTCACTAGATCCCACGTCACCGGCCGTAGAAAACTTAGCAGCAGAGATCCTGCCTACTGAGCTCAGGTACCCTGGGGACTGGGAACTTTGGTCCCACCTAGGCCTGCCAGCACCGCCTCAGCCCACCCCTAGAGCATGAACTATCACTAAGTCGGCTTAGCCCCAGCTCCCTGGGCCAGCCCAGCTTCTAGCCTCATCCAGTCTCCTAATTCTGCTCTTACCTGGCCCAGGGCCTTAAGCCCTTCCCCACAACTTCACCTCTCCAGATCCATCCTAAGTATATAAATTAGGTTCAATCACTCCCAGTGTACAAATCCTCCACCTAGCCCTGCCCACATCACTCTAGGCTCCAATTCTCTGTCCACCAGTAGCTATTGTCCACACCGGTTGTCACTTGGCTTAACTTGGCTTACCCTTAGAGCCTTACTTCTACCAGTAGCCTCCATACCACACCCTTACCTTTACCTTGTGGTCTGTTCCCAGGCTCTAATCCTCCCTTTTGTAGCCTCTGTTAGGTTCAGTCTTCTGTGCCTTGTGCAGAATAACCACCCAAACCTGTCTACCCCTGCTTCCTCGCGGTCCCTACTGTTTCTCCTCTGTAGCCCCACCCTTGCCTGGCTCCACCTCTAGATTCAGTTTACAACCCCACCCACTTTGGCTCTCCACGTAGTCGTGCCCCCGCCACACCTCAGTGCTCGGTCCACCCTTGCTTAGGCCCTATTCGCTGTATTCTAACCCTACCCCATGGTCCAGCCCTTGCTGGACTCTTCCCCAGAGGTCTGTGCTGTTCCCACCCTCACCCCGCATCTGGGTGGCTGGTCCCCAGCCCTGCTCACCCCTTGTTGAGCAGGGAGACGCTCCTGCGGCTTCAGCTGGAGAACAAGAGGCTGTGCCAGCAGGAGGCAGCCGACCGCGAGCGGCAGGAGGACCTGCAGCGCCACCTGGAGGAGGCCAATCGTGCACGCCACAGGCTGGAGACGCAGCACCGGTAAGAGCCCGGAGGTGGGGGGCCCTGTGTGTGCTTGCTCGAAGGGGACCAGGGAGAGGTGTACAGGCACTGAGCAGCAGTCGCCCCGCAGGCTGAACCAGCAGCAGCTGTCGGAGCTGCGGGCCCAGGTGGAGGACCTGCAGAAGACCCTGCAGGAGCAGGGAGGCAAGAGCGAGGACGTAAGTGCTCACCTCTTCCCTGCCTGGCCATCCCTCGCACCCCCCAGTAACCATCCTCTCTCCCCTTCTGCTGCCTGATGCCCTGTGCAGGCCCTTGTAAGTACAATGGGTTGAGGGTGGTACCCCTACCCTGACCCAGGAAGGGGTTCAGGACCTGTGAACCCCTTCTCATCCCCTGCTTTTTTTCTTCCTCTAGTCCACCCTGCTGAAGAGGAAGCTGGAGGAACATCTGTGAGTCCCCGAGGGAGGGCATCCCAGTGGGGGAAGGGCTCGCACGAAGGTGGGAGATGGATTTGGTGGGGAATGGAGCCAAGCTGAAGCCCGCTGAGAGGGCTCAGAGCCTTACAGGCCAAGGGAGGAAGTGTCACTGTGTGGGGCAATCTTTGGGCACCGCTGTGGAAGAAGTTTCAGACATGGACAGGAGTATGATACTTGCTTTATAGATAGATAGATAGATAGATAAAGATATAGATATAGATATAGATAAAAGAAACTAAATAGTTATCAAGCTTGTGTTTCAAATACTAAGACATTAAGAACAAAAAAGAAAACAACCCAAGATGTATACCAAGCTATGCAGAGAGAAGTGGTGGGCCTCCCAGCCCACCACCATTGACTCAGTTTCCACCTTCTCCACCCCACCCACCCCCATTCTTATTAGTTTGTTATGAAAATCCTTCCAGAATTTTAAAAGCAAATGTAAGTGAAGATGAATATAGATTTTTATCTTCATCTCTTATTTACTCAAAAAGTGGCATCTGATGTGTTTGTCTACACTTTGCTTTTCCTGCTTAACAAGATGGCTGGGAGACTTCTCCATAAGAAGTAAAGGCGTGATTATTTATTTATTTATTTATTACAACGATAGCAGCCTTCATCAACTGGAGTTCCATGGAAAAATTAAGCCTAGCAGAAAATGATTTGCATGATATTTTCTCAGTTCTCCTGGGATGTGGGGTAGTTGGTACCATTCCAGAGCACAAACAAGGGATGCCTTGGGGTACTAGGGCTGAATTCTCCTGTGGAATTCTGGTTGTCCCATTTTGTTTAGGGATATCAAGTAACTGTTCTTTTCCAGGTACTCTCCATTTTCAAATAATGCAACAAAGTACTCAAAGTTATAGCCTACAAAGTATATAGTCTTGTATACTTTGTTGCATCATTTTGTTTGTAAGTGTATCACAAAGTAGAATGGAGGCTAAAAGGCTACATGCCTTTGTAATTTAGTAGCTGTTCAGTGTCCGCTGCACAGACAGTCTCACAGATGGAGTGTCTGCCAGAACTCTTTGGAGTTTTGCCACAGATGGGCTCAACTGTCAAGTTTTGGTTGGCATCTCCTTCTATTATAAGAGATTTGCATTCTAGAAGGATCTCACTGCTGCCTGATAGAGAATGGAACTGAGGACTGGAAAAGGCTGTGGAGGGATGATGGTGGCTGGACCAGAGTGGGGGCTGTGGGATGTGAGAAATGGCTGGTCCCAGGGCTTCAGGGCTAGGGGTATGGAGGATTGTGGCTCTAGTCAATGACTGAGAAGATGGTAGGGCAGAGCATGTGGCCCTGGGCATGGGGAACACACACAGAGGTCTTCGTGGCCAGGGCAGGAGCATTTCTGGCCAGCTAGGGAGGCTGTGGCCACCCCGGGAGGAGAGCAGTAGCAGAGCCTGGAGGTCAGCCTGCCACTGCCCCTCCCCTGCCTGCAGGCAGAAGCTGCATGAAGCGGACCTAGAGCTGCAGCGGAAGCGTGAGTACATCGAGGAACTGGAGCCACCCGCTGACAGCAGCAGTAAGTGGGGCCTGGGATGGAGGCCCGATGGCAGGGGGAGCCAGAGCTGGGCGCAGAGCTGAGGGGTCACCTCGGTTCCCCAGCAGCCCAGCGCATCGAGGAACTGCAGCACAGCTTGCAGAAGAAGGATGCAGACTTGCGGGCCATGGAGGAGCGGTACCGCCGTTATGTGGACAAGGCGCGCACGGTGAGGGCGCCAGGGGTCACCGTAGGCTTCCTGCTGAGACTCCTGCCTCCCATTGGCTTATGCCTCTCACTACTTCATGCCTCCTCACTGCCACAGGTTGTCATATATAACTCACTCAGCATGCCAGAGTGAGTGGCCAGGGTGAGCTCACTCTGGCTGTGTCTTCCCCAACTCCTAGGTCATCCAGACCCTGGAACCCAAGCAGCGGCCCCCTGGGGCAGTGCGCCCAGAACTCCACACCTTGCGAACACAACTCCGGGAGCGGGATGTCCGCATCCGGCACCTGGAAGTGAGTGTCCTTTTCTCATCCCACTGGTCCCTCCTCTCCAGGCCCTGACTGTTGCTTCTTTGGCAGATGGACTTTGAGAAGAGTCGAAGTCAGCGGGAACAGGAAGAAAAACTGCTCATTAGTGCCTGGTATAATATGGTGAGTATGTTGTCACTGTGGCCGGAGAGTTGGAGGGGCCTATGGGCTCACCTGACCTAACCCTTCGCCCTGCCCTCTAGGGCATGGCCCTGCAGCACCGAGCTGGGGAAGAACGGGCACCTGCCCATGCCCAGTCCTTCCTGGCACAGCAGCGGCTGGCCACCAACACTCGCCGTGGACCCCTGGGACGCCTGGCATCCCCGAGCCTACGGCCCAACGACAAGCACTGACAGACCTCAGGATCCTGCTGTCTGTACAGACAGCCAGAGGTTAATCCACCTAGGTTCCCCCACCTCACACGAGGCCCCAGCACCAGGCCTTGGCCAACCACTTGGAGTCTCAGGGTTGTGCCCCCTGCCCCTTGTTCTCCCAGATTGGGAGTGGGCAGGGCAAGGAGACAAATGTGAGCCTGTTCTTTTCAGCCACCAATGTGGTTATTATCCTTGACTGTCTCTCTGGGCTTAATGAACTGGGGATGGTCTGATTTTCTATCTGGGACAAAGAATAATAAACCCTTTCAATCTGCATTTCCTGGATGCTGGGCTCTGAGGTGAGGGGGAGAAGGTGGGGTGGGGACTCAGCTTCCTTTGCTGTCTGCTGTACCATCTCCAAAACCACTGCTGGTCTCTTGATTCTGCTGCCTCTGCTGCTGCCATATCTCTGTTGTCTCTCTGCTGTCATCTCAGCACAGAAATTCGGGCCCAAGGACATGCTCCGCTCCCAGCTTCATTCTCTTAATTGTAGTGAGATCCCCCTTTCCACTCCCGCGATAACTCATTTTAAGCCGAGCATGATGGCAAAACTGACCAATGCTCACAATAGGGTTCTGTGTACCTTATTTCCATGGTCCCCTACCTCAGGCTGTCATGTACCTTATTTATATTGTTAACAAGCTGTCCAGTCCCCTTGGTGGGCCACAAGCACTCACATTTGCATAGTTCCACCCACTCATCTGGTGGGAGTCATAAAGGCTGTGGCTAAAAGATAATTCACTGCACCGCACCATGCGACTCAGAAATCCCACTCCTAGGTTGATATCCTAGGGAAATAAGAGCTGTGACATAGACAGACATGCACATCGTGCACACCATGGCATTAGTCACAATAGCAAAGGATGGAAACAACCTGAGTCCAACAGATAAATGGATAAACTGTAGGATGGACATACCATGGAATGTTAGGTGTGGTGGTTAAGTCTGTGTGTCAACTTGGCTGGGCCTGGTTGAGTGGCTGGGCAGCTGGATGTAGTATTCTCCATAATGAGACTGGTAATCAACTCCGTGGTGGAATCTACTGTGAGTAGTGGAGTAACAGCCTTAGGGATATGGTCTGCTTCCTGTATGTAAGGAGAAGCCTCAGGGAACGGTCTCTAGCTTATGGCACACCTGAACCCTGCATGTAGCCATGGCATTGTTCAGCAGCCTGCCATTCTCTGCTAACCTTGGGACTTTCAATGGACTTGAATTAATGGCCTGCGGTGTGGTTTGGTAACATTGGGACTGTGCCTTTTTACCTGTCAACCCTGGCTTGTCAGTCTCAGCAGCCAGCAGCCTGGAGCTCTTGGATTTGTCATTCGTTGGAGTCAACAGCCAGTATACTGCCCACCAACCTTGAGCTCCTTAGCCCTTGCAGCTGCGAGAGTCGGGAAAAGCCTCCAGCTTGACGTTTGATCCAAGGACTTTGGACTTGCCAGCTTCTATAAGTGTGTGAGCCATTTTCCTAAGATAAATTTCTCTCTCTATATATAAGCTTTACGTATTTTGTTTCTCTAAAGAACCCAGTCTAACACAAAGACTCAAGGAAACAATTAGTCCAAAGGACTAATGGCCACACAAACCACAGCTTTCTCTAGCCTGAAACCAGAAGAACTAGATGGTGTCCAGCTACTTCTGCTAACCACTCTGACCAAGACCACAAATAGAAGGTCCTGCTTAGAATGGGGAGAAAAAAAAGTAGAACAAAATTCAAAGACAAAAACTAAGGACCAGAATTAATTGATCTGAAAGGGACTAGAGGGACCCCTGAGACAATTGCCCTAAAACAACCGCCTAACTTGAAACTGAAGACACCTGTGGAGCCCACTTTTTAGACAAGCAATAGATGGAGCTAAAAAACAATAAACACCTGTGAAGAATGTGCTCAGAACAAGCAACTATACAAGGACCAAAAGGGCAATGTGTGCCTAAAACCAAAGATGGGAAGACAAGGACGGGAAAGCAGAGGAATGGAAGCAGGGAACATAGGGAGGAATAGGGAGAGTGCAACGCATTGTGGGGATTGCAACCAATATCGCAGAACAATTTCTGTACGAATGATTGATTGAAAAGCTAATTTGCTACGTAAATGTTCACCTAAAGCACAATGTTGTTGTTGTTAGGTGCTGTCAAGTTGGTTCTGACTCATAATGATCTTATGTACAACAGAACAAAACACTGCCCAGTCCTGCCCCATCCTCACAATCCTTGCTATGCCTGAGACCATTGTTGCAGCCACTGTGCCAATTCATCTCATTGAGGGGCTTCCCCTTTTTTGCTGACCCTGCACTTTATCCAGCATGATATCCTTCTCCAGGGACTGGTCCCTTTAACAGCAAGACCAAAGTATGAGGGATGAAGTCTGGGCTTTCTCACTTCTAAAGAACATTCTGGCTGTACTTCCTCTGGGACAGATTTGTTCATTCTTCTAGCAGTCCATAGTAATGCACAATAAGATTTTAAAATAATAATAATAGTAATAGTAACACACTACGTTTAAGAAATGGCTTGGCTTGTGTTCTTCCTAAAATGTGACTGATAGACCCGCAGGAAAGTGAAGATCATGTTTGTGTGTGTGTGTGGTGATGGCGGTTCTTGGAGAAGCTTCGGACAAAAATTCCTGCCTTCATGAATGTGGCGTTTCCTATGAAAAAAGACAGGCAGCAAACAAATATAAGTTTGATGTGAGGAGTGCAGACAAACAAAGCAGGAGAGAGTGATGGTGTAGGAGATGGATTTAGGTTGTGGAAATTTTAAATAAAAAGTCAGGAAAGGAAGCCTCACCAAGAGGGTGTGCAGAGGCATGAAGGAAGGGTAGCAGGTGTCCTGTGGATATGGGGGAGGGGAGCAATCCACATAGAGGAACTAGAAAATGCAAAGGTCCTGGGGGAGATTGTAGTTGGCTAGAGGTACAGTGAGAAGGCTAGTGTGGCCAGAGAGGGGTGAGTGAGGTGGGAACAGGAGGACATGCAGGCAGGAAGGTGAAGAGTGAGGTTGTGCAGGGCCTGTTGGCCTCAGGGAGGACTTTGTTTTTTATTCTAAGTGATGTGGGAGCAATAGAGAGTTCTGAGCAGAGGAGGGACATGCTTTGACTTAGGTGTTCACAGGTACCTCTGACCATTGTTGGGAGAACAGACTGTAGAGGTCAAGTCCAGGAGTCAAATGATTGGGGCAGAAGTCCCTAGTCCAGGAGGGTGATGGGGGGTGCTGGAAGAGTGAGCAGTGGTTGGATTCTGGATACAACCTGAAGGCAGAGCTGATAGGAATTTGATGGTGGTTTGATGTGAAAGAAAAGGAGACGAAGATGATGCCAAGGTTTTGGCCTCATCACCTAGAATTTTCAGAGGATAGGGCAAGGTGGGGAAACAAAAGGGAGGTGGCTTGTGGTAGGATGTATTGGAGGTGTCCACATGGAGAGGCCAAGGAGGCTCTCTGAGTCTAGAGGAATCCTGGTTCCTGGCTAAACTTCTAGACTCAGGAGTCATCAGCAAATGATTCCATTAAGATCTGGAGCACTGAGGGGGACTTGGGAAAGCAGTGGTCTGGGGGAGGGTGTCACTTGCAGAATCTTAACATATGCTGTGGTCTGGGACAGTGGCTGGCACATTAATGAATGAGCAAAGTCGGGGGCACTGTTGGGGACACTTTAGATAGCAGAATTTGGGGAGAAGTGGGCAGGGGGAGATTCCTTCAAAATCTGGGGGAAAAAATCCCAAATCTTACTTAGCGTTATTACCTGGCAAGAGAAGTCATATTGTTTGAGTATAAACATTTTATTGAGCACCTATTACGTACCAAGGAGGTCCTAGGTAGGACAAGTGATTAAGCATTGAGCTACTAACTGAATGCAAGGTTCCTGATTCCAATCCACTCAGAGGCACTTGGAATAAAAAAGGCCTGGCCATTGAAAACCCTATGGGTTGCAGTTCTTCTCCGAAACACACGGGGTTGCCATGGGTTGGGGATTGATTGCACAGCAATGGGTTTGGTTTGGTTTTGGTTGTTATGTGCTAAGTGCTTTAATGCCGTCATTTTAATTCATCCTCAGGACAACTCAGTGAGGTAGGCACTCATCTTCATTTCAACGAAAGAATAAAGTCAGCAATGAAGTAAATTACCATTTTGCTTCAAAAAATAATAAAGTCAGTACGCACTGGTGGATGCCTTTTAGGCAACAGGCGTGTGTAGCAGGCCGGCAGTAAGGACCGGCTGTTAAAAGCTGGAAGAATCGCCCGCCTGAGCCTCGCGCGCCCAGGTACGCAGCAGCGCAGGGAGCGGGAAAAGCAGGGAGGCCGGTGAAGGTTGGGGAGGAGGGAAGTTCACACGCGGCTTCTGCAGACTTGGATCGCGGCCTGCGGGCTGTTTGTGTTGGCTTGGTTCTCTGGCCTTGAAGGGCCCTAGACCCGAAAGTCTCAGGCCAGGTTCTCCTCTTCCTCGCCAATAGGGCTGGGCAGCCAGGGCGGCGCCGGGCCTCGGGGCCCAGGCATGGACACCAAGGTGAAAGGTTCAGCGGCAGGCCCGACTACGGGCGCGAGAGGCTCGGGACCCGCGAGGAGCTCGGCCTCCGGCTCCCGCAGGTACGGGTCGAGCAGCGGGTCCTCGCAGCGGCACTCCGGGGCCGCGCCATCCGGGGCGGTGGCGCACGCGCAGCTGGCGGCCGTGGACGCTTCTGACACGCAGCTGTTCTTGCGGCGTAACAGCGACAGGCGCCGGCCCAGCAGGCCTCCCGCCGTGCCCGCAGCCACCGGCAGGAGGCGCTGCAGGAAATCGCCGTGCGTCTCGCCCATCTGCAAGTCCAGGCCGTCCGGCCGCTGGAACTGCATGTCTTCCTTGGCCAGGCTGCGGGAGCGACAGCCGAGTCAGTGTAACAGAACTGGGACCAAGGCACACTGCTTCCCCTGGCTCCACCCAGCCTTTTGTCCCATATACGCCAAAAGATTTTGCTCCGCATGCCAGGAACTGGCCTCATCCTCTGCTCAAATTTAAGCCTCGAAACTTTACTCGTGGCTCCGCCCCGTCTCCTTTTATACTGACCAATCCCATCCTCAGATCATAGCCCTGTCCCACTATGTAGCCCCACCCCTAGCCTCGACCCCGCCCCCTGACTCCTTGCTCAACCCTTGCCCCTCCAATCCTTAAAGCCCCAACCCCCATAGGATTTAGCCCTATAGATCCTTCAGGCGGACACACGTCCCCCTCCCCCAGCAGCCTCGCCTCCTCCCGCTGACTAACGTGATGTCGAAGGTGGAGCCCTGGAAGGAGGGCTGCTGCCGCAAGAAGGCGGTGGCCGCCGTGTAGGGGGCGCGAGCCTCGGCCGCGTCCCAGTACAGATCCTTCTCCAGCATGGCCAGGTCGTCGTACATCTCGTCCACCGCCAGCATGGACACCTGCGGGAGCAGACACGTGGACCGCGATGGAGGGAAGCAGAGCGCTGGGACCACTGGGATGGTCCAGGCATCCTGGAGGGGATGGGGCCAAGGCTGCTCTGGGGTCTGGAATTGGCGGCCTTTGGCGCCGGGGATAGCCATGACAGCCAGAGTCTCACCTGGAAGTTGCGGTCGATCAGAAAGTTGGTCTCAAAGTCGTCATCATCCTCTCCGAAGGGGTTGATGAGCTGCTCCGCCACCTGAGTGGGAAGGGGGGAGGGCGGTAGGCGGAGCCTTGAGAGCCCCTGCTCGACTCCCTCCCTAGTCCAGGCTTGGAGGCCCCACCCACCTTGAGCCAGCCGGCATAGAAGAAGAACTGCAGCAGAGTGAAGATAGGCACGCACAGGTCCAGGTCGTGGCCTTTGTAGCCCTGCCCTGGGTCCAGGAACTGGCGACCGATGAGGCAGGCCAGGAAGTAGCTGTACACTGCGATGGTCACCACCTGGGGCAGGGCAGGCCAGCAGGTCAGGGATCTCCCAGTCTCAGTGTCAAGGGACCTGGGCTAGGATGGGGGTTACCTGGGTGTAGACAAGGGGTACGCTTATCCAGTCGTAGTGAAAGAGCATCCCACACTTGGCGCGGAACATATTCAGCTCCTGGGGATGGACACAGGTCATGAGGGGGTCTGAACTGTAAGAATTAAACGTGAATAACTGGGATGGAGGTGAGTCTACATCTGGTGGGGGGTGGGAGTGTGGTTTTGTGGTTTCCAGGGAGAGTGTTTGGCTGTGAGTGAACACCTGGAGTGGCTGCCCTTGATGGTGTTTATAATCTGCCTCCTTGGAGGCTCGAGGCAGGGCTACTATCTGACTCAACTCCAGGGGTACAATTTCTCTGATATTCTATACAAATGACTTCACGCCAGCACAAACCTTCCTGGTGGGCCCACCTCGAGCAGCAGCTTGAGGGCGCTGTTGTCGCGGATGCGGCCCTCGCGCCGGGCCTGCGCCGCCAGGTTGCAGAACCAGACGCAGGGCACCCAGAACTTGTTGTAGGACGAATTGAGGTTTTCGAACTTTTTGCGCTCTTCGCGGGTCATAAACCCTGGAGGGGCGAGGTCAGGGGTCTCACCTCCTTACTCCACCTCCGCCCCATCAACTACCCCACCCCCGCCCCACCTGCAGCCGGGCCTCACCAGCCTCCACCACATGGTCTACGGTGGGGAAGCGCTTGAAGACTGCAGTGCTGACTGAGCGCAGGATAAGCACCGCTGAGAGTCCCGCGTAGCGCATCAGCGTGCGTCGATAGAGGCGACCGCGCTCGTCGCGCCCATGCACCGTGCCCACCACCGCGCACATGAGCGCGTCGGGCAACGGCATGCATAGGTACTGGTCCCACCAGCGGTGCACAACCAAGGTCACGTAGAAGCCTGCGGAGAGCGAGGGACTGGAGACTCAGCGTGGACACTAGAGTGGGGCTGGGTGCTGGTGTTGGGCCCCAGGTCATAAGAGGAGGGGAGTCATAGAATCTGCATTAAGGACTCGGGCAGAGGATGTGACTACACGAAGCCACCTGGGCTGGGGACTTGGGGACTCCAGCCCTGAGAAGACACTACATACAGATGGAGCAGGCTGGGTCATTCTGGCTACCTGGGTCGAGGGATTGAGGTCTCAGTTTGGGAGTGGTGACAAAGGGCTCCTAGCACATGGATAGGCTGTCACCCCAGTTACAGGGAACCACTTGGCTGGTAGCACAGGGACCAGAACATGGGGAGAAGGCCCCAGATTGTGGCGGTATACATCAAGGACACCTGAGCAGGCTTGTTACAACAGCCACAGGAGCCCTGAGCCAGGAACACGTGAAGGAGTTAGATACAGGCTCTGCTTCCATAAAGACTCAAACCAAACCAAACTCACTGCCGTTGAGTCAATCTCGACTCATAGCAACCCCTCCTTGGGTTTTCCAGGCGGTATCTCTACGGAGGAGGTCTTCCTTCCCAGAAGTGGCTGGTGAGTTTGGACCATCAGCCTTCTGGTTAGCAGTCATATGCCTTAGGCACTATGCCACCAGAGTTCCCATAAAGACTATAGCCTAGGAAATGCTTTGGGGCAGTTCTATTCTGCCCTGTAAGGTTCCTGAGTCAGAATCAACTTGATGACACAAAACAAATGCCAGGGAGCTCTGGACAGGTTGGCTACTCCATCTAGGTGGGCTTATGACAGTGGGATAGAGTCTGGGGCTGCATGATGTCACTGGAGACCAAGACATGTCAGAGAAATGCCTGTCTGGCTGGACTTGAGAGGATGGAGTCATATGGGTCACTTGAAGAGGGCCCTGGGGACCCAGAACATGTGGAGGGACACTACTAGTCATGCAGACATAGGTGGGAGTCCCTGAAGTGACCAGGGGTAAATTTTTGAGTGACACAGGGCTCTTATGGGGACATTCAGGGGATACATGTGATCAGGTGACACTCGGGATCTCAGGATCCAGAAATGGGGGAGAGGGGTGCCTGTGGGTATCTCAGAGAAGCAAGAATGGGATCTCCAAAGGCGTAAATAGAAATGAGGGTCTCAGGATTACAGGAATGGGAGGAGAGTGTGATCGCACCAAGTACGAAGGAGACCGGGATGAGGCTGGCGTACTGGTCGCAGTAAATGACAAGCTTCTCGAAGTAGCGCTTCTGGTCTTCGCTCAGCACGAAGCTGGGAGATAGGGGGGACGGGGTCAGAGGAGGGTCCCCTTCCCAGCAGCATATCTGTCTTCCTGCACCCCTGGGCACACCAGGGCCCCTCCCCAGCGCTCTCTCGCGTACGGTCCCTTTCCGCACCACGCACCCCCGCGCCACCTCACCGGTAGGCGGCGCTCAGCGCCATGTAGAGCCCGAGAAAGCAGAGCAGCTCTCGCCACAGCAACTTGTAGATGCTCCCGCGCCACAGCAGCAGCAGCTGCGAGAAGCCGCCGAAGCGCGTGTTCGCCACGCGGGCTGTGTACGTGACGGTCATCGCCGCGTCAGGCCCGCCGGGCCAAAGGAGAGGGGGCTGGGCCAGCCCCGGGCCTGTTGGCGGAGGAACTGGGGGCTGCGGAGGTGGCGGATGTACTGAGTGCAGCGCCTCCTCCTACCCATCCAGGTTCTCTTTTCCTCCCAGTCCTGCTCAGGCCCGCTGCAGACCTCTTCCAGCGCCCTCTGGCAAGCCACCCCTTCCCTGGACTGCTGGTCCCAGAGCCCAGCGCCTACTTCTCCCAATCTCCCTCCCTGGACTGCCCAACCCGAGCGAGACCGCTCCATCAGCCCCTTGGCGGAGCCCTCTACCCGAGGCCGTGTCTCTCTATCCAGGACACCATGTACATTCTCCCCACTCTCTAAGCCCCCAGCTCCCGGACTCCAAGCGCCTCGGTTTTTGTGCCCAGGCCTGCGACCTTCTCTCCCTCAGCCCCCACCTCTGGCCCTCTATTTGCCTCCACTCTCCCAGCTCCCAGTCCTGGCCCATGCTCTACCAGTGCACTCCCTTTCCAAGTCCCGATCCTCTGGCCTCCAGCCCCGGTTCCCCTACCGCAGTCTGACCCCTCTCCCCCTCCCTGGCGCTAGCGGCTCTAACCTCCACCGACCATTTAACTGCCTGATGCTGCCCCTCCCCCTTTCCCCTCCGAGATCCACCTTGACCCTCCCTCTCTTTGCTCCCCTCTGGCTTTCCAAGCCCTCCACTCCCCACCCAGAAGACTCCAGAGGGATTTCTGCCTGCAGGCCCGGGCCGTTCTCACCTGTGCTGAGGGTGGTGAATGCAGGGACACGCGGGGACAGGGACAGGATAGGCGGGTGGCTTCGGTGCTGGGTGGGGCTGGAGTCAGACCCTGAGCTGGAGGGGGCTGGGGAGTGGGCGGGGAGGCCCCGCCCTAGCCCGCCCCCTTAGCTCCAACCTCAGAACTTTGTTTGGAGAAGCCGGTCAGCCTGTTACCTGGAGTTGGGGGAAGAAGTCCGCCAACCCTTCCATTGCCTCGCCGCTCCCCACCCCTCGCTGTCGGGGCCCAGGGATCCTGGAGCTGGAGGAGGGACAAGGACCGTCTCCTTCCCAGTCCCAGAATCTCTGTGGGTCACTCGACAGTCACTTGTAATCACACACACTGTGACAAAGATGCACACAGACACATATGCTATAGACCCAGCCACAAATCCAGCTTCCCTGGACCCAGTGATCTGGCGGGTGGTACACGATGTCACAGACTTCCAGAGTCACACATGATACACACCCAACACGCGGCTCTATCTTTCTCCCCAACAAATATAGGCAGATATATCCTACCACCCCAAGCTCTCAAGCACACTGTCTCCAAACAGGACAAGAGAGAACACGGGTGAGGACAAAGGGAGGGGCCTCACATTCCCTCAGGATCACACCATGTCACAAAGACGCACACAAGGTCATACAACCAGCCTAGTGCATTACACACCCAGGCACCAGAACACACACAATCACATAGCACAATGGCACCAAATGTATATACCACTTCCTCCTCCACATAGTGGCTCACAGTCCCCAACTCAGAGTGGGTCCTGGTTGTCCCTTGGGTCTTACAGGACAGATGAAGAGGTTCACATTTAGGCGGGGTTATGTCCATAACCCCATATGGTTATGGTTATGTCCATAACTTATGTACATAAAGGGGTTATGTCCATAAGGCTTTTATCATTAAACTCACCTACGTTTACCCATCAATACATAAGGCAACCCCCTCCCCAACAGCCCCTACCTGTTCTGAGTGTGCACACACACCTGTATGCCCTCTTAGCTCTCAAATACTCAGCACTGCTGAGAACACACAAGCTTGGGGATTCAAATCCTGACCCCCACAATTCACAGATATGGGACACTTTTTTGGCTCCACATGTAGATCTACAAAGGAGGCACTTCCAGCCTGGCACAAACAGCACTCTCACCCCCAGGCTCGCACACTCCAATGCCCAGACGGGTCTCTGTAGGGGGCGGGAGTTCAGGTCTCCAGCCCTTCGAGGGTTGCCCTGGGGTGGGTGCTCCTGAGCCCCTCGTGCCCACCCCATTGCAAGCAGTGTGGATGTCTGTCCAGCCCCACCCTGAGGCCTGGCAGGCCAGGACGCTGTGTTCCCAGCCTGGCAGATGTCCGCCCCACCCGCCATAATTAGGAACCGGCCTGGGCCGGCCACCTCGAACCGGTGCCTCCGCTGTCCAGCTGCCGAATGGCCCATAAAAGGGGGCGAGAGCAAGTGGTGGTGGGCGGGGCTGCCACCTGCTGGACCTGGAGAGAGGGCAGGCTGTGTCCTTCGACCAGCAGCCCCTGTCTCCTGCGATGTGTCTTCATCCTCATTGAGCTAGCCCTTGTCTCATTCACAACCCCCGCGCCAGCTCAAACATGTCCCCACTGACTGCTGGAGCCCCGCTGGGCTGGGGGCAGATTGCCCAGGCTGGTACACATGTACACATACTTAATAATTGTAACAGAATAATCAAAACACTTCTTGGTGGGTACATGCCTTGCATTGTTCTAAAGGTATTACATCATCTTACTGAACGCTTTCAAGTCAGCATATGAGGGTGGTGCTCCAGGTAGGTAAACTGAGACTGATGACACACAGAGCTTGTTCAAGGTACAGCTGGGATTTGAAGCCAAGCAGTTTGGACTGGAGTCTGGGGTCTGCCATCAGGCTGTATCACCATGTTTGTTTACACACGCCATCCCAATGTGCCACAGCCGCCTGCACACACCCAGCAGTCAAGTGAGGGGACACGTCTAGGCTCGTGGCTGGGCTCCCCTCCCACACACACCCTGGCGCACCTCAACCCCATCTCCTGACTCATGCATGTCCTCAGACACCCGCTACCGTCCTCCCCCCACAATAAGCTTCAGCTTAGAATTTGCAGCTATCGGATGTCTTCCTGGTCTTGGGTCTCAGAAGTGGGGATGATGGGGCTGCCCAGGCAGCGGCCTAAGGGAGAGGTAGAGGGCAGGTGCCTTGAGTGTGTAGTCTTGGTGGGTGTGAAATGGCTCTTGTCAATGTCCCATTTTAGTGATGAGGGGACTGAAGCTCAGATGGCAAGAAATGTGACAACAATTCAGTGAGAAAGCTCTGGATGGAAAATTGAACTTCAAGAGTCATGGCCCCAGTCTTCTGCTAACTTGTACTCCATCCTCCCAATCAGTCCTGGGGCTGTAGTTCTTTGGGGGAGGGGCAATGTTACCTTGTGGGGCAGAAATTGGTAGGGGCTGTTATGTGCAGTTGAGTTGAACCCAACTCAGTGACCCCTCCTTGGGTTTCTGACGCAGTATCACTACAGAAGTAGATTGCCCCACCTTCCTTCTGAGGAGTGGCTGGTGGGTTTGAACTGCCAGCCTTCTGGTTAGCAGTCAAGTGCCTTAGGCACTATGCTACCAGAGCTAATTGGGGGGGTAGGGGGGTGGAGATTGTTAATCCCTAGTCTGGCAGACCCAGCCTCTGCCTAGGGCGCCCATTAATTCCCAAACCAAACAGCAGGCAGCACCGGGCCGCTGCTGGCCTAATCCGCTCCCTACCAGCATGGGGCCAGCTGAGGGGGCACCTGGTTCCCACGCTCTGGGCCTCCATGAGCTGGGGAGATGCCCCTCTCCTCCAGCCCCAGCAAGGACACCTCTACATCCTCTAACTCGACACCGTCCTTCCCAAAAGGCCACAAACACATTTACTAGGTTTCTGTTGTGAACGAAGCCCCCTCTACCACTTTGGTGCAGTGCACAGTGTGTGCAACTGCAAACAGAGGTGCCATCCCCAGCCCCCCACAGCAACAGCCACAGCAGTTAAAGATCATTTTATTAAGGGGGCAAGAGGTGGGAGAAGTAGAGGGGGCAGCTGCAGGCCCCCAGCTTTGCTGGGGGAATAGGCTCCCTCCCCCCCTCCCTCCCCTCCCCCCAGTGGCTCCCTCTGCACTGTGGAGGGATGTTGTGCAAACTCTGCCCTAGGGTGGGGTAGGAGGGTGGGCATGAAATGTCAGTGGTTAGGGCAGGTAGTGGTGCTACTGGGTGCTGGGGGGCTTGTAGGGTTCCAGGAGGAGGGCTGAGAAAGTGTTGACCTTATCTGCCCCCCGCACCTCGTGGGGCAACAGCGGCAGCTTCACAATGTGGAAGTCTTCATACAGGTCCTCCATCTGTGGCCAGGGCAGAAGGCAGGAGTCAGGGCCCGAAGGGCAGGCAAAGGAATGCAGAGATGGCTGGGGGCTCCCCAAGGTGAGGGAGAGAATACGGGGCAGTGGAGCCAGCAAGATCAGAGATCACTGGGCTGGGCCTCCCACCTCCTGGGGTCACAGGTACACAGACCAGCCCAGCCACAGTCCTCAAGCGCAAGAACTAGGCTGAAGGGTCCAAGTTGGGGTGAAGGGCTCAAGGTTGGGCCAAAGGGTCAGAGAGTGAAGCAAAAGGTCAAAGAACATAGTAAAGGGTCAGAAGTGCCTTGGCTGTGGTAGGCCAGGCCCTCCTTCCAGGGTCAGAGGTGTGAGGTCTGAGGATAGTGTTGGGTGGGCCACCAGGCGGGTGGATGGGCACACCTGGTCCAGGTACTTGGCCTGGATCTTGTGGCGGGCCTCACACATCTTGCAGGGCTTCTCGGGGTCAGGAAACACGAGCTGGTTGACAATGATGTTGTGTGTGTCAATCTTGCACTTGGCCAACTCCTGAATCAGCCGCTCTGTCTCGTACAGGGACAGGAACTCAGCGATGCACACACAGATGAAGGTGGTCTGCTCCTGTAGGCACAACGAGGACAGTGAGGGAGGGGCGGGTCCTGGCTCTGTCCCCCCACCCATCAGTGCCCTCCTGGACTGCAACTTACAGGGTCCTTGAACTGCTCACTGACAGAGCGGATGACGGGCAGCGTCTCCTCCAGCTTGGAGGCCAGCTGGTCTGCGTTCATGTCCCCCAGGCCCAGCATGTTGCACATCTGTGGAAGGATGTGGGAAGATTCACAGCTTACCTGGGTGCCCATCATCTTGGGAATGACTCAACATCTCCCAGTAGTTAAAGGCCTGGGCCCTCAAGCAGAACCCTGGAGTCAATTCCTGCTCTGCCATTTCTGAGGGACTGTAACCTCTCAAAACCTCAGTTTCCCCATCTGTAGACCTTATCTCCTGGAGTTGTTGTGCTAGGTGAGCTGACACACGTTAAGGTGCTTAGAACAGTACTTGGCACACAGTAAGTAATCAATAAATGTTACTGCCTGAGGTACAGGTCCCCTCAGGGGACCACACACCACAGGGGAGAGTTGCAGAGTGTGGGGTCATGACGACAATAACCAGTTGGGGCATTCTCATGATCTTCATTTGACAGACAAGAAGGTGAAGCCCAGAGAGGTGAAGTGACTTGCTCAGGGTCACACAGCTCATGAGTGCAGAGGATCTGAACCAGGGCAGATGGTTCCAGAACATGTGGCCTCAAGCTCTGTCTGGGCCAATTAGTAGATGGGGGTCAGGGCCACTGATTCCTATAGGGTGGTGTGGGAAAGGGCTTCAGTTACTGCACATCTGGAAGACTGGGGGCCCACTCTGCCTGCCTGTGAGATGAAGGGGCTGATCTGGTTCTTGATCTGCATGAGGCGGCCCAGGCCCCTCTCGACGATGGTGGGGAAGTTGAGCAGCCTCAGAGTGTGGCCTGTGGGTGCCGTGTCAAACACCACCACCGAGAAGTTCATGCCTTTCACCAGCCTGTGAGGAGATGGGGGTCAGGTGGGCTCCGACCACTCTTCTGCCCCAGCCCTGACAGTGCCCCTTGCCCCTGCCTGGGCTGGGCCTGACCTCATGACCTCAGCATAGCTCATGGCCTCATCGATGCCCGGGAAGGCGCTCATGGCTTCCTGCATCATCTTCTTGCCCATGCTCAGCATGTTGTCTTCCTCGAAGAACTCGTCAGGCAGCTCTGCCACGCCAAGGCTGGGGTCAATCTCCTGGGGACCGAGGGGACAAGACTCAGGTTGCTGCTACTGCTGGAGCCTCCTCACCAGGGCACAGGGCCAGAGGGAGCCCATGGAGGGCTCCAACCATAGGCCCTGACATGGTTCCTGCCCTCCCTTAGAGACTCATGAGCCTTCCTGGACACACCAATGGTCAAACTGTTATACAAACAAATGGAAAATTCCAAATCGTGATCAGTGCCCTGAAGGGAAACCAAAGTCCACTGTGGGGCCTCTTCCCCAGCTACTCCCTCACCTGCAGCTGGCTTTCCCAGGTACTCCCACAACTGGCCTTGACCTCTTCCAGATCATTACTCTAACAGGAGCTTCCCCTGAACTCCTAGTTTACAGGCACAGCAGCCAACACCTCCTTCTCCACCTTCCTTCCTCAATACTGAGTCCCTTCTTACACCCTGTAGGATTTATTCATCATGCTTATTGTCTGCCTCTCCAACTTGTTCACTGCTGTACCCCTAGTATCTACAACAGTGTCTGGTACGTGACAGTTCCTCAACACCTATGTGGAATCCGTGAAGGGATGACTATCTCTGGAGTACATGGCCAGTCCTGAGCTCAGGGCTTCCCTCCTCCTCCTGGGCCACCTCTTCTCTGTGATGTCATGAGTACCATGGTGAAGTCCCCAATTCCCTGGCCTCAAAGGCCTCTGCCCTCCAGGGAGCTTGCACACCCATCACTCTAGCCCAGCACCTACCACAGTCACAGCCTTGGCAGGTTATTTCCACCACTGGGACACCTCATTGGCCACACCTCCCTCTCTGACCTCAGCCTCGCTTCCTACCTTACTTATTCTAAACTTCTCTGGGCGACCTTGTGCCCTCACTGCTGCCATGTTTTTCTTGTTTGTGTCCCTCTTGGCCTGCACCCTTATCCAGCTCTGGCTCTGCAGGCTGCCTTCCCCTCTGTAGTTGGCAAAATCCCCACCCTGGTTCTTCCCAGCTGTCTGGTGTTGCTGCAATATGTGCTCAAACCAACTTGATGACCACCTCCCACCTTGCTCCCATTCCCCATCACAAATCTCCAACGTGCACTCAACCAGCCAGACCATCCTAGGCTCCCTCCACTCTTGGCAGTGTTTATGTCACTTTTTCTCCCTCCTCAGGGCTCTTCTGTCCCATTCTCCCTTTGCTCCCTGCTGAGGCCCTTACCTTAAGGCTCAGTAGAAAAAAGAAGGCATCAGCTGCCAACACCCTCACTGCCCCCCCCCCCGAAATACCCCAGTTCCCTGACTTTCCCTCTGGGCTCCTGACCCTAGCAGAGCCTGGGTCCCATCACCTGCCAGCGCCCGCCCCCTCCTGCAGTATCACTGCCCCTCCCTATTGGAGGGCTCAACTCAGCAAACAAACCTGCTCTGGTATCTCTTTTCTCACAACCAGCCCTCCTTCCCCCACATCTCCCTCTAGCCATGGCCCCATTTCTCAACTCCCATCACAGCAACAGCTCTTACAGGAGTGGTTCAGAGAGCCGCTGTCCCTACCTCTTCACCTCACCAACTCCAGGCAGGCATTTTCCCCACTCCCAGGGAGGGGTCTCCACAATTGACATGCCTACAATTTCTTAACAAGGTGGAATCAGAAATACCATTTGATCCATCAATCAATCCCATTACTAGATATATATCCTAAAGAAGTGAGAGCCAGGACAAGAACAGATATGTGCACACCCATATTTATCACAGTACTACTTACAATAGCAAAAAGATGGAAACAACCAGGGCGTCCAACAACAAAATAATGGATAACCAAACTGTGGTACATACATACATACAATGGAATACTATGCAACACTAAAGAATAATGCAGAATCCGCAAAACACTGCATAGATAGCATGGTTGAATTTGAAGGACATTATGCTAAGTGAAATAAGTCAATCAGAGAAGGACAACTATTGTATTAGTACATTATTGTACAAAGTCAAGGGAAGGTTTATATAAGGAAGGAAACTTTCTTTGTTGGTTACCAGAGGTGGGAGGAGAGGGAAGAGAACAGTGGGGGAAAAAATAACAACAAAAAAACCCCCCGCCATGCCTTGCCTACGAGAACAGACAACCTCTTCTCTTCCTGGTGCTCAGGACCCTCCTGTCTCTGGCTTCCCTTTGAGGCAGTGCCTTCGTGGCCTGCTTCACTGGCTCCTCTGAAACTCTGCTGGACCCTAAATGCTGACGCACTATAAGGCTTGTTTCTGGGCCCCTTTGTTCTCTTACACTTTTAAAAACCACCCCTGGAATACTTAACTACTCTCATGATATCTCCAATTGTCTATACAGTGGGAACCTTGGATTCACCATGGTCAAACAGAATTGTAGATTTGTCCCTTTTAAACCTCCTCTCCTAGTCTCTCACCCCAGCTGCTCATGGGGCCAACTAAGCGATTATTTAATTCGTCTCTTTCTCTTTCTCTCACTGGTCACAATTAAGAAGTCTCATTGCTTTAGCTCTAAAACACATCCCAAATCTGACCAAAAAATTCTTTTTTTTAAAAAAATTATGATTTGGGTGAAAATTTACAGAGCAAATTACTTGCCATACAGCAGTTCACAAACACTTTGTCTCATGACATTGACCACAATGCACCACAATGCTACGGGTCCCCTCCCACTTCCTCTCAATAGTCACCTCTTCTCTGTGTCCATCCCTCCATGCACTCTTGCCTGCTGAGCTGTCTTCCTGTGCATAAATAGCCCTTCTATCTCCCATGATTGTTCTCTCCAAGGAGTGTATTTACCTCAGGTAAATGTTCAGCTCCTATGCCTGTCTCCGAAAAATTCTTTCTCAAAATTCTTCCCACCACTGTAGTCTGGGCTGCTGCCATCTCTCACCTGGTCACTGCCACAGCCTTCTCACTTGTCTCCCTGCTTCCACCTTCCACCCTATTAGGCACACGGCAGCCAGAGGCAGCCTTTTGAAACATGAATTTGCCCATGACATTGCATCACTTAAAACGAATGACTTTCGCAGGGGACATCAAGCTTAATCGGCATAACATACTATACAAAACATTGTTCCACCTCCTACTTTGG